TTATTCATTCTTTTTGCTCACTATTCCCATTCTCATGGTCAAGAATACACATATTTCTATCTCTCTATACGATTTGTATCAAATTGTATCACATATCCTTAGAACCATACACAAATTTAACGTTATCTGATTTTTCGGGTAAACAATATTATAAATACAGGATCTAATCAAAAGCTAGTTGGTTCGTCCAAACCCGTATCAATTTCTCTAGCTCAGCCTCTTTATTGAACCGATATATTTATTAATTGAAATTAGACAGTATCTGATTGGTCAAAAGATGTAAATTTGACACGTAGAAAGCCTTGCATGTCATTTAATTTGACCGGACAATTACAAGGTTAAGATCAGTATGGGTTCTGCATAGGTACCAAATTAAAAAAGAAAGGACGAATTTGCAATAAAATTACTCGTATGAAGTAGACATGTCATGTTTATTGACACATGGAATGTCCTAAGTTATACGATGAAATTGACATACAAATTACGTACGTACTTTAGGATAAATCTCAAGCCCATTTGGCCATTAAAGACATCCCACCAGCACCTAGAAGGACAGCAATAAAAGCTTTGATCTGTAGTTTGATGCTACCTTGTAATTTGTCACCCATGAAATCTGCAGCTAGAAGATCCACTAAAGCCATGTAAATCAAAAGGCCGGCCGATGACGCATTCAGCAATCCAACGGTTATTAGTGCCCGCGGGCTGTTTTCTTGGTAAGTTTTTGCCAATGCAATTCCAAGTGCTATGCCGAATGGAGTTGTTACTGAAAAGAAAAATGCCATTACTGCCTTTTTCAACATTTTGTATTCTGCCTGTTTATAAAAAACAACACGGGAAAAGCATCAGAAATTCTTTCACTTTTAAAATAAAATAAAAGAGGTGAACTAGTCAAGCAGCAACGACTCAGACTATCCCCTTTTTTATTGAATTATTGTCCTTGTTATCCAATCGGCAATTTTTCCTAATGTGCTATAATTTATTATTTTTGTTGTCGTTATATTATCTCTTTTATCTTATGGAAGAAGTGGAAATGTTAATTAACTAATTACCTGGAGGATGCAACCGCCAAGGCCCATTCCTTCAAACATTTGATGAAAGCAAAGGGCAGCAACGAGTCCTTTAATTGTACAAGTATTGTTTGAAGCTCCTAGAGAAAGCCCTATTACCACTGAGTGAACAATGATACCAAGCTCTAGCACCTGCAGGAAAAAAAAAAAAAAAAAAAAAAGAAATTAACTCAAATAGTCGTCCACCTAAACTTTTAAACTAAAAATTTATATACTAATAACTTTTGCTGATTAAGATTCGGATAGAGATTGCATCTCCTATTATATATTTTGACATTTGCCGTGAAGATATTCCCACATGTCATTTAATGTGAAAGTATTTAACCGAGCATTAAATCTAAAAAGTAGCTTAAAACATGTCGTGAATGTCTATCTGAGTATATAATCGTGTCCTTAAAAATAAAAGTAGAATTTTAAAATTATTTTTTTAAAATATAAGAATGTCTGTTTTTTTCTTTTAAGGAGAAACTTGAAAAGAGTGTCTTATGAATAGGACTGAAGTAATAAATGAATATCCCTCACCTACATCCTTTTCCGGCAAGTTTATCAAAGAGCGGGCCATATGCTCATCAGCAATTTAGCTTTATTCCAACATCTAAATTCTAAGTACGTACTCCGTATACTAATGTTTACCTTTCCCTATTTTATTTGAGTTTGACTCTTTCTTGTTAATATCCTCCATGCAATACTACAAATCTATCCATCCCCCTGAAAAACCTGTCTACGAAATACAGTGATCGAATCATTTTAATTTTCAGTATGAAATCATATATTATAAAGGAAAATTCCATTAGAAGTATTATAAATCACAAATATCTTGAAATTTTTGAAGAAGTCGTAGTTAAATTTAAAAAAACGTGACTCCACAAATTGTAATCGTATAAGGTGGCACCTTACATAATAGTAGTTTCATAACAGAAAGAGTTTACGCACTAGCAATTTATAATCTTTTTACTTCATCACTTAACTATAATAACAAGTTTTATACGAAACGTGATATAGTAAACTGGAGCTTAAAACAATAAACTAGTGTAAATAATTGATAAAAATTACATAGTGCTAAAAATAGGGATTTTTACACAAATAGTCAGATGGATTCATTCTTTACTTATCTTAGCCGGTATATATAAAAATTATATACTAATTACACACATAGAATACATTTGCCAACTATTTTTAGATTAAACAGTTAAGTGAGCAGCTATTTATATTAATTCTTCAAAATATATATTGCACTCTCATATGTACAACTAATTAAATCCTAAAAGTAAATTGAGTTGGAGAAAGCAACGTAAATAAGATGTATAGTTGCACTTACTAAAATGACTAGTTTGATTGCAAATAATGTTGTCATAAGGGGTTAGAATATTAGGCAGCACAGGCACATAGACCACCGTCTAAAATACTCCTTCCGTTTCAATTTAAACGAGATAGTTTGACTTGGCACGGAGTTTTAAAAAAAAAAACTTTTGAAATTTATAATCTTAAAAGTTTAAGGGGTAAAAACTTTGTGAGGCCATGATATTTGTGTGGTTATAAAAACTTCTAATTAAGGGTATAATGGATAAAATGAAGAGTTTAAAGTTAAATTATTTTCAAATTTAGAAATGTGTCATTTATTTTGGAACAGATTAAGAAGGAAAGTCCCTCATCAAATTTAAAACGGAGAGAGAAGTAGCTCATCTAATTTGAATTTGAAAGGAAGGGAGTAGGTTTTAGCTAATTTAGTAATGGTTAGAGCAGCAACCTAGCTAATAATCGGCAAGAATCTGATCATTTGCAGTTGATACTAAAAGGCATGCATGTGGCTGTATAAAAATGGATCTATCTATGAATGGTTTGGAGCAGTCAACCAGAATTAGGCAAGAATCTATTCTTTTTCAGAGCAACGACCCACTGTCAACCCTTCAAATCTTGAAGCATTTAAGTTAATATATACCGCCAGTGGAAGAAATTTCTTATACTATAAGTATGTAAATATTTTTTATGTTTTAGGTGCGTATATATAGCTTAAATATTATTTCATGTCGAATAGCTAGGAATATTATTTCAAATTACGTCACATAAATTAACCAGAAATAGAGACTAACCATTGCAATGACTCGGTAACGCAGTAGTTTTGTTCCTTGAATGTCTCCATCTTTAGAGCTTAGGGATCCGTGGTGATGAGAATGCAAATGGCCATTATTTATTGTGCCCATTTCTTGATCATGACCACCATTTTCAGGAGTGACACCATTTTTGTGCTTCTTGCTATACAAACTAGTAGCCATAGAGTCAATAGCCAACGTAATTATAGCCGATAACATAGCAACAAATCCAGTGAAAGGGAACTTATGCCAAGGATTTTCCTTCAGACAACCGGACGACAACATGTCGAAAGAATCCGGCAAGACATGCATGAAACCAGTACCAAGAATAATTCCGGCAGCAAATGCCTTAACGATAACAAAGAGGCTCCGGTCGGGGCTTAACGCCGATATTGAACGTGTGACAAGAGGCAAGCATACTCCGATCATGCTAGTTACTAAAATGGAGACTATGGCTATGATTTTTAAGGTTAAAGCTTTGGATTTGTTGTTGCATGTGTTGTGTGTTTCTGAACCACATGAGCGATCTTCTTCTGAGAAAGCTTGAGGTGTGAAAATGGAGATGAGGATGAAAAAGATGAAGATAAGCTTGAAATTTTTGGAAGAAGCCATTGATGAGCCACTGTTCTCTTTCTCTCGGTGGCTTCTTTTCTTGGTTTTAGTGAAATTTATTTTGCTTTGGTTTGAGGTAATTGTGAGTTGTGATGATATCTGGGAGATACTAACTATATAGACATAGAATTTGGTGATATCATGTGCATTGATAAAAATAGTATACTAAGGTCTTAAATGCTAAGCTGACATGTTAGTGTACAAGTTGTATTTTTCTTGTTACTTTTTAATTTATAATCAAACGACAGACATTGGGATTAAAGTTTATCAGATTGCTTGATAATCTATTCATAATTGAGCGGGTTAAGATCTAAAATCTACTAAGTAAGCCAACTGGAAACAAATTTTAGTGTTTGCCGTATATAATTAAAAGAAGTTATTTTGTCGACCTGATGAGACAGATAGATTAAACCGTGCGCCGAATTGTTGATTTGATTCCTCGTATATTGTACTAATAGCTTCTTAAGGCTAGCTACACTACACTTGTTTGTCCTCTTAGAATTGCATTATGTAGGAAAATTGAGTTCCTGATTTTATACAAGTTAGAACATGAACATTAGGTAGAGGATGGATAATAGATCTAATTTATAGCGTACGTAAGGCTGTTAAGTGCCTATATCCAAAGACAGATATATGTCAAATCTCGAAAACTACGAGCTGGTAGTAAATGCAATAGCATCAATCAATTTTGCATGGTATCATGAATCTTTCATACCCGGTGCTGGTGGAAGAACAAGATAGATAAATTACGGGAAAATGTGTACGACAAGAAATAGAAATGAATGCTCTTATATGTGCATGAATCTGCCATAGAAAATTGTGAAGAAATAATCTTCTCTACCACTTATGTATATGAATTTGTATAGAAAAAAAATGATTGACTCTTATATTTTATTTACGGATTTCTTGTATTATTTTATCACTAATCTCCTGTGTAAAGGATCATATAGCTGCAATACTATTTGTAATAGACTACAAAATGGAATCTCCCAGAATGTGCAACTTAAAAAGAGAATCTTTGGAAATAGCGTTAAATAAATAAATACTACTCCATTTAAATTTATGAGACATAATTGGCTCGACACAATTTTAATCTTTTTTAACATGCCATAAAATTCGTTTGGCAATAAGATTTTTGAAACTAATAATCTCACACGCCATTACATTTGTGTGAATATTAAAATAGAAGTTTAAAGTTAAAATTTTAAAAATATAAAATTAAAATGAGATATTTTTCTTTTTAAAACGGACTAATAAAGAAATAATATCCCATACATATATCACGATCCAAGGAATTCAAGACCGACACTTCTCGGGGTCGACTTCAAACAAATTATCTGAAGCCAATTATTTACCCAGCTCTACATTTCCACAAAGTCTACAAGCAACAAGATGAACACCCCAGAGCAAAGCATCGGGCCGAAAGGTAATGCTTCTCATCAAATGCTTTGTCATTTCTAGGTCCTCAGCCCCTTCAAACAGATCCACCAATACCATGCAGATAAAATGCTTTAGTATAGGTTTAATACCAACTCCGGCTCCATTGCACGAATGTACTTGATTCTGAATGGCCTACAACTGCCAATAGAGAAAAATTTCCAGCATAACCTTAAATAGTCGCAGAAATATATACTTATATCATACCATTCCCATGGATACCATGAGATGATATTATCGCGTTATAAGTGACTGAATTGATCCTAGATGCCTCATAAAATAAAGACATGGAATTCCAGCCTTGTCCATTTTCCATAGAGGTCGATGAGGAATGTACAATAAAGATATCCAGATGAAGAGCAACCTCAAACACCTAAATGGCATGTGCTGGCGAGGCGCTCATCCAAGGTCCTTGGATGGGTGCAAATGCATCATAGTCATTCATCACGTTGTACACTTCAATAGTCTCTCTTGCAAGGCCATTTTGAACATTAATTGTGGTCACTCTGCTTCACAAAACTACATCTTTAACAGGAATCACTTCAATAACCTCATGACTGCAATCGATAAAACCCAAGTTAGCATACATATCAATCACTGCATTCCCCAAAGTAACATCTTCCTCAATCCAATATCGCCTCAAATATAAATCCATGAAAAGATCTGCTCAAAGGAACTTTTTGGTCCTAGCAATATTAGAAGCGCAAGCTCACTAAAGCAGTAAGTCAGGTTGAATTCCCTTTAACATCATCTCCTGAAAGTAATTTAATTTAGGGCTTTATCTGGCATAATATTTTTTCTCGTATGCAGCAATTAACGAGATTCATGATATAAATTCCTTCCCACCATAGCATCAGAGACCATTTCTGCAAGTCAAAATTTGGCAACATGTTTATCAAGGCAATAGCATTAGACACAGAGACATTAAGTTCCAAATCATGCTTTATCACATAAAATGTGAATTTTCATCCTCGTCTATATCGCCAAGCTATGTACATACAGGAAGTACTGCTGCAACAGTCCATCCAATCTCATATGTTCCACCTGTGTATAAATTGAAACTAGAATTGAAGAATGGCAGAGATTTTGTGGAATGCCAACCTTTGCACGCAAAAAAATAACCTGCTCGCGTATTTAACAATGTATGAAATCAATAACACAGCCTATATTTCAAATTCTTTCTTTTTCTGGGACGTACAATTGGAGGAAGAAAACATCATATCAGTAGTCAAATTACTGGAAACATAATAGCATAGCGATGTACCTTCACCAGAATTGGAATTTGAAGCCACAACTTGTCCAATTTAATTAGTAGACAAGCAAATGAGATAAGATCTTTTCGAGATAACATGTACAGTACAGGCAATTTGTTTCAGAATACATGAAAAGTGATGCTAATGTAGAAGATTTGGAGGCTATGCTTTACAGAGGTTGATATGTGATAATGAAGCTATCCATCAGAAAATTTATAATACGTTCGCTCCTTAAATAGTTGGAAACATGGGGTCTTGTTAGTTTGATGCTCTGTTGCAAGTTGTAACCATCCAGACAAAAGTACCTTTCTTTGCTTGATGTAATTCTGGCTTTCTCGTGTTATTTCAAGTACTCCTTTTACAAGAAAAGGTACTTTCAGCATCTAACTCGAGTACAACACTCTATTTTCATTCACAAACTTCATAACAATCGCAGTCATTTTATGCCCAAAACACAGAATTGTCAAGAATAATTTCCTTCGGCAAAAACTACCTACATCATCATCTTTTTGGGGTCCTACCAAACCATCTATATGTAATCAGAGTTCTCGTACACTATGACACACTGCATATTCAAGCTACAAAAGCTTCTTCCTGAAATTGTGGGATTCATAGTTCAAGGTTCTAATAAACTTGCTCACCAACGGAAATTCAAAGTATCATCAGGGTTTGACTTTGATGAGTGGTGATTTTACCATTTATTTTAGTCTCTTTTCTTTAGTTTTTGTATCCTTTAATTGTAAGATGAGGTAATTTATGTTGCACATTGCTAGTATTTCAGGTACAATGAGTCTTGAAAAGAGTTGAAATCAAATGAAGTGGAATTGAGCAAAAAAGAGTTGAAAGTAACGCAAATGCAGTCAGTGATTCCGCATCTACGTAATTCTGTCTGCATCTGCGGAATTGCCAAAGTTCCACTGGGATCGAACCTGCTATTGAAAATCCGCTTTTGCGGAGCCGCTTCTGCAGTAGAAGTTCGCATTTGCGGAGCCGAGTCTGCGGCTACACGTCCGCTTCTGTTGAGCAGCCAGCTCCTCATTGTTGTCCTTGTCCTCGACCGGTATCTTTTCGGCTGCCCCCATTTGAAGATGGCCTTGATGCCTTTCCACATCTTTACCATGAATTTACCCTTCTTCTTATTTTTCTCCTTCTGGAAGTCTGCATGAAGATCGATGTGGGCCTTGGCCATATGCTGTCTCGAGCCTGCTAACAGAATCTGCTAACTTTTCATGAGGCAGAGTCTCAAAAGAAGTTAGCAGATTCTGTTAGCAGGCTCGAGGCAGCATATGGCAATATGGCCAAGGCCCATGTCGATCTTCAGGCAGACATCCAGAAGGAGGAGGAGAAAAATAAGAAGGGTAAATTCATGGTAAAGATGTGGGGAGACATCAAGGCCATCTTCAAATGGGGGCAGCCGAACAAGAAGATACTGTTCGAGGACAAGGACGACAGACTTCTGAGTATTTTTCTTCTCTACCTAAGGTTGAAGGTTTAGGAAATCCCACTCGGCCTTAATTATATCTTATCGAGTTGGAACCTGAAAGCAGAAAAAGGTTATCTCCAACTTGAAATTCTAAAGTTATCATGCTGAAGGCTAGCAGTATGCGGAAGATTTGGTACCTTTTCTAAGCAAAAGTGATATAATCAGCACTGCAAATTGCTTGTTCTGATAGTGAGTCTTATTTTGTTCACTCGCTTTTACCAACTAATCATCCTTCATAGGAAATAAGAAAGAGCATTAAAATGTGTGCAGAGGGAAGAAGATATCTACATTGAAAAGAAAAAACTAACATGAAGTACTGATTACAAATGCTTAAGAACTTACAAAAAAAGCTGTTTCAGGATTAATTCATGTAGTGAGTGTCAAAGCTGGGGCCTTTGTGGTCTGATCAACAGATTCAAGTCCTGGGAACTGTCCTATATCATGTCCTCCAAGTGGCTTATACTCCTCGTGCAAAACAACGGCAAACTCATGAGCAAGGTCCACCTTGTTCGAAGTAATTTGCAATCTGTAGGAAGGCCCTACAGTCTGCATTCAGAAATATATAACAAGCTTAGGAATTACCTTTCAGCCTTAAACATCATAGTAAATTCCACGGTCATACGAGTACCCCGTAAAAGAAGCAAACAAGAACAATTATTACTCTGATCTCTACTTTATCATAATTAGAGTAAGCCAATAAGCAGAGAGAGACGGTAAGAACAAGGAAGTTCAGAGGGATTACATGATCAGTAAGAGCTATGCCACTTATAGCTGCAGCTTCTAAACTTGAGCCAAGTAGCCAATCACCACATATACCAGCTCTTCCTTGAGGATCAAAGTGCATGGAATTCCAGGAGTGTTGGTTGGAAGAGCTGCACCCCTGCAAAAAATTAAAATAAACCAGTCTCATATGACTACAGATGGATAGCATGAAAGAATTTCTTGCGTTCAATTGATGCATGATTGGCTAAAGGCTGGATAGCAGAATGGTTATCTTTTTTTTTAGAAGCTAAATCATTTGGAGGAGTACAGTAGTTATGACGGATATTATTGAAAATTCAGAACCTTAGCTCACCTTTCTTTGAATTTTATACAAGATTAAGATGCAGAATGCAACATTGAGACCTCATATCTTCTTGCTTCATCACATATCACTTTGGGCCACTGAATCATTTTATCCTGATAATAATTGTTATATGTATAACTTTGAAATTTCCTAATAGGAGCTCGGAGCTGGTTTAAGGAGGACTCTTACGGCAGGAAATTTCCTTTTCATCCATCCGCCCAAGATAGTATCAACCTTCTCAGTTCCCACTTCCCGCCCAGCAATGCAGTCATTTCATCCTTATCCTCACTCAATATCAGACCTTCCCCCATATCACATGGAAGTACATCACTACCAACAGAAATGCGTACTGAGAAGTTACCCAGTAGCTTTGAAGAATCTCATTTCCTGAATAACTTAGTATCTGTCACCGATCAGTCAGACCATATCATTTGAGTGAGTCACAAGGCTAATTCTTTACAAGTTGAATTTCATTAAACGACTCCCTTCCCTGGGGGTTAAAGGCAGTTATGTTTCAGATTAATGGTTAAGGACGCGCCCGAGTCATGATTCTCGTTTTTCTACAATGCTTGTTCATAATAAACAAGATAGAGAATTCTTTCAATGACTTTTCATGGCCACAGAAGTAGGAATACATTCATTACCAGCTACACAATTTGACTCCAACTAGCAGCACTCACTTCAAAGGTCAAAAATAAATATGTGACTCAGATTGGAATGACTTTTCCATAGATTCCACAGAACAACTTCCAGCAAAGAAGAGTAATACTTCAGCCCCCGGTACTTCAAGAAATTTCTCAAACATTATCCCCTCCATGATAATGCAAAACAATACTTCAGACCCTGCTGCTTCACATAATTTCTCAAATTTTACCCTGCTATACATGGCAGTGGTTACCCATTAGGAAAATAAAGAAGCAGCTTCAGTTCATTACCAGGGGTAGCTTAGGGCAGTGAAGGTTGATTATTCTTATGTTCATCATTCTGAAAACAGATAATTAGAAACAGTCGCATAAATCAGCGGAGTCCCCAAACATTAGAAATGCCACCCTTTAGCACGCCAGTATGATTGCGAATTATGGTTTCCACGTGCAACTTTTATCTTTAGAAAAAGCTTGTATGCAATCTCTATTTTATTTGAAGCTAGTAGCTTGTTGTTTAGTTTGCTATAAATAAGCCTGCTAGGGTAAAATCCTTTCTGTAAAGCTTCCTCCATCACCAGAACAGCATTTTCAAGCTGCCCTATGTTACAAAGCCCATTGATGACATACTCATAAATTTGCATATCAGAAGAATAACCACTTTCTTGCATCTCATTCCAGATATTTAACAACATACCACATTTCCCAAACCTAGAAAGCCGCATAAGCAGCAACTTATATGCAGTCAAGGATATCCTACATCCAGCTTGTCTCGCCTTCTTATAAATCATCAAAGCTGCATGGGGTGGACCATAGCTACATAAAGGCTCAAGAAAAGAGGTTAAAGTCCCTGTTGTAACAATCATCCCCCGGCTTAACATTTCATCGAACATTTCAATGGCATCGGCTACTCTTCTAGCTTTGAGAAAAGCAGATATTAGTTTCATATATGTATCGGCATTTGGCTCACAACCCGTATTTAACATCCTCCCATAATATTTGACAGATTCATCAATTTCACCATGTGAAATAAAATTCGAAATCATTGCATTGTAGATCGCAGCATCAAGCACACACCCTTTTTCCTCCAACCCCTCAAAAATCTCAACGGATTCATCAATTCGACCAGCTCTCCCTAAACATTCAAGAAGATAACTGTAAGTCAAATTGTTTGCCTCAAATCCATCATCCACCATTTCTTTCAAGATCCTCTCAACTTCCTTAACTCTTCCAAATCTCGACCACCCACCAATGACAATATTAAAAGTTGAAACATCAAATGAGACTTTCGCTTTCATTTTCACAAGCAATGAACTCGCAGCACCTACATGAGATCTACAACATAAACACTGTAAAACAACATTAAGTGTCTCAGTATTACATTTCAACCCATAGTCCTCTAATCCACTAAACAATTCTATAGCCTTTGAAATGCGACGAGCTCGAACAAAGCTATCAACCACAATGTAAAGTGTGTCTAAATTAGGGATTATACCTCGACTCCTCATATCCTCCAACATTTCAACCATGTGTTTGAAAAACTTCCTCCTGCCCAATGCTTTAAGAATTATACAGTAAGTATGATTATCAATAGGTATTTTTTGCTGTTTGATAGCCCAATTGAAAAATGTTACCATTGATGCAGCATCTAAATTCCCTCTGTTTACTACTTTAGCAACTAAATCAACAGTTAATTCTACGTCAACAGATGTCAGTGCCTTGTCGATTGCAGTTTTGCCCTGAAGTTTCTGAAGGAAAATGCCCCGTAACTTATCTTCGGGAGTTAAAAGCTCATCCAAAACCCTAACTTCCAACTGATTGTTTTGATCAGAGGATTCTGTAGGAAAGGGCTTTTCGGTTAAAGGGGTCTGACGGATGAGTAAAAGGTCGGAGAGCTGATTCAGAACATGAGATTCGTCAAAATTACTGGAGAATGTTTCGGGAGATTGAGAATTTGGTAGTGATGAAAATGAGTGATAAAATGCAGGAATTAATGAGGAAATACTCAGACAAGTGGATCTGGAAGCGAGGAATCTTGCCAGAAGCATCGTAATTCCTTATGGGTTGTGGATTTTTGCTTCTACGAGTGATTTGAAGACAAGGTGCCCTGAGTTTCACGACGTCGTCTTTGTTCGTCGATTCCTACTTGAGCCCAAAGTGTTTCACTACAATTTGAGCGCCAAAATGGGACGGTTAAGGGGTTGGGCTTTGCTATGTATACAGGCTATAGTCCGGGTGAAGTACACAAATAGCCCATCTTAGTTTGTTATTTAGTAATTAAACAGTACTTATTTTATTTTAAAATTTTAATTTTAGGACAATTTAAAATATTTATATCTAAAAAATTTAAATTAAAAACTAAAATTCAAGATGTAAAAAAAATATTTTCTTTCATTTCAACAAAATGAGTATTTTCTTTTCATGATATAGAAAAAGTGTTTTCTTTCATTTCAACAAAATGAGTACTTTACTTTCATGTTGTAGAAATAGTACTTTCTTTTTCAGCAAAAAAAAGAGAGTATTCTTTTTAGTTATGGAGCACAAATTTTAACGTTATTTTTGCGTACAAAAGTAAAGCAACACATTAGTTTATTTGGGTTTGTGTGAATTTTTAGAAGAATAATTAAATTCTTGAAAAAAAATAGAGTTATGAAAATGTTAGATATTTTGGGGAGGGGGGAGAGCACAGGAAACATATGGACTTGGGGAAAGATGGGTAACGGGAGCATAAAAAATTATTTTTCTAAAAAATATTTTGTTAACCAAACACTAGAAAATATTTTCTGAAAAAATATTTTCACTTACCAATCAAACAAGAAAAAATAAGTGATAAATCACTCATTTTTCACGAAAAACATTTTTCTTCGTACCAAACTCACCCCAAGGACTTTGACCCGAAGTCCATAGTAAGATTTTCAAAAGGAAGCAAGTAACCAACGGATAACCACCAAAATCTACAGAGAGGGGACAAGCAAATCTACGAAACATAGGGATAATATGATTAATCAACGTGTAACAGGCACTGCTGAACCGGTAGATCATCAAACACAGCTAGGCTTAGAGCTACTTTGTGTAGCGATGAACATCATGCAATATGTCAACAACAATCAAATCGATTATCGCTATTCCAATTCAATTTTCAATTTATAGGTTCCTTTTTAGTCATAATCTTAACTACGTGTTAGTACACTATAAAATCTAAAACTAACTAGTAGATTTTACCAATACTTAGCAGCATGATCTTATGACATTGGATTATTATGATTTATGTGACCATTTAAAAGTAAGTGAAAGGTTCATTATACTTTTTCAATCTTAAGGGGAGGTTATCTGTAAATTGTACCAATTTCAGTCTTTTCCGACCTTTCAAATCTGCCCAAGAAATTTTCAATCTTCACTTTACTGCTTTGTTGATTTAGAAAGTGACAGTGGAGTTTAGGACAATACAAATACCTTTTATTCCACAGGCAAAGATACTACAACGGATAGAGTAGTATAGAAGGAAATTTTGAGAAAATAATTAAAATGGAAAAGGTCAACCGACCACGGTATAAGTGCAAGGTTGTGTAGGTTTAACTTTTTCCAAGTAAAGACAAAAGGAAACAGTTCACTAATAGAAATACATGTCATCTCTCCCAAATAATGACAAACAACACCAAGAATATTCCACCTAATCTTAATTAATTCTTAATCCCTAAAATACGCTAAGAAAGCCAAAGAAAAAGGAGAAACGGCAAGTGGCCAACCAATTGACTTTTTTTGGATGATTAGAAAGACCTCCCAAACCATTAAAATGTACTATATGATTCTATATTATGATTTAGCACTATTGATTTCTTACCTATATTTGCTTACAATCGACTTAAACATGCAATAAGACAATGTTAACAATCAACTCGTAAAATTAAAAATATTGTAATAAGATCTTATCCCAATATGAGAAGAGAGGCATTGGGAAATTAAGATAAGAGAAATTATTGAACTAGGATGTGTGATGAGTTAGTACCAAGTGAGTTGGCCAGTAGTTAGATTACTTGATAAGCAATGGTGAATAAAAGGCATCAACCAACATTTATGGAATAAACATAATTTTGGAAATATTTTCCAACAAAAAAAGAAAGATATTAGCTAGGTTAGCAGGAATACAATCTTCTATACACTACCCTACAAGCATATTCCTCCAAAATTTGAAAAATCAGTTGACCACGTATTACAGTAACATATTACGTTTAGAAGAAGAGTTTTGAAAATTGAAATCACGCATCACCTGGCTAAATGATGGTGATGCGAACACCAATTTTTTTCATATGTCTACCCTTCATAGGCGCAAAAGGAATAGAATAAACGCATTAAAGGATTTGGTGGGTAACTGGACTTTTAACCAAAATGACTTGCAAAATCAAATTCTTGATTATTATAAGAATTTATTTAAAACTGAGGATTTGCTCTCTATTCAAACACATCAGGACTCTAATACACATCAACTATCGATTTATTACATTCAAAGAATAGAGCAGCCTCTTAATCAAGAGGAGATTAAATGTGCTTTATATAGCTTTAAACCCTATAAGGCTCCAGGACCGGACGGGTTACATCCGTTCTTCTACCAAAAATATTGGTCTGATGTAGGTGAGAAAGTTAATCATTTTGTTCATGATATCTTTAGTACTAAGGTCATTCCTCATGAGCTAAACAGAACCTTCATTTGCCTTGTACCAAAAATAAAAAATCCTACAACTATTCTGCAGTATCGACCCATAAGCTTGTGTAATACAAACTATAAGATAATTACCAAGATAATAGTCAATAGACTTAAGCCAATTATTAGCAAAATAATAGGACCTACATAAACTAGTTTTCAACAAGGGAAAAGAGCTTCAGATAACGCTATAATAGTGCAGGAAACTTTGAATTACTTTGCGAAAATGAAAGGCAAGTCTCCTTCAATGCTATTAAAGCTTGACTTAGAAAAAGCATTTGACATGTTGGAATGGTCTTTTATAAGAAAGACACTACTCTATTTTAACATTCCTACATCTATGATAACCTTAATCATGTCCTACATTACCACAACATCCATTTCTATCCTAATCAATGGTTCCAGGACTCATTACTTCACACCATCAAGAGGTATTCGTCAGGGTGATCCTCTATCACCATACCTATTTATAATGTGTATGGAAATATTTTCACGTAGCATATCAATCTCTGTTGACTACCTACAATGGCAGCCAATTTGCCTATCAAAAGCTGGACCATCCCTATCACATCTTTTCTTCGTAGACGATATTATTTTATTTTCCAAAGTCACTACCAAAAGTTGTCATGCTATAATCGATGTACTGAATCACTTCACACACCACTCAGGATAAAAAAAATCAACTTTGAAAAATCAAAAAAAAAATTCTCAAAAAATTGTACTGAATCTGATCGGAAATTTGTCATTGACTCTTTCCACATTAAGGAAGGGACATCATTTGGAAAATATTTAGGGTTTCCCATGTTCCAAGCAAGACCTAAAAATGCGGACTTTCAATTTCTCCTAGATAATTTCAAAACTCTACTTGCAGGATGGAAAAATAAATTTCCTAACTATGGCAGTACGAACTACTCTTATAAAATCAACTTTGAATAATTTACCAACCATATTATGCAATATATTCATATTTCAACAAACATCATTAATAAAATAAAACAATACCAGCGTAATTTTATATGGGGTATTACTTCAACAAAAAAGAAAATGCACCTCCTTAAATGGAATGATATTACAACTTCAAAAGAAGTGGAAGGTTTGGGAATTCAAAAACTACGCCAAAAGAATTCAGCTTTGCTTGCAAGTTTAGCCTGGAGAGTCTTTAAATCGCCACAAACAGTGTGGGCAAAATTACTCATTAATAAATACCTTAATAAGTCCACAACAATAATTCACTCGAAAATCTGGAATAATATCTTACGAGGTTGGCAACACTGCTAAATGGGGATCAAATGGAGGATAGGGAAGGGTATGCACATAAACTTTTAGGATGATCAATGGATAAAGGCAGGCACAACAATTCGCTCCTTAATTCATGGACCCTTACCATCATGCCATAATAATTTTAAAATATCCTCTCTACTCAATGACACTGGTTGGAATTGGACCAAAATATCTTTCGAATTATCAGATGATATAAAACAATTAATTTTAGCTACTTACATATCAAAGTTAAAAAATAATGTAGACCAACTTTACTGGGGCTTAACACCAATGGGAAATTTTATTGTCCATTCGATGTATACAGCTTTGAAAAATCAGTTACAACAACCCATTAATACTTCGGCAAAATTCTGCTAGATATGGAAGCCTCCTATACAACCTAAAATCAAAAGCTTCATTTGGATGCTCCACCACAATAGGTTACCAACACGAAATTTTCTTAGAAAAATTAATATAATATCGGATGCCACTTGCCCTAACTGCCAACAGGAAGGCAAAAGTATCGGGCACATGTTTCTTACTTGCGCAAATACTAAGAGATACTGGCAGGAATTAGGACTCATGCAACATATTAATGCACTCATGCACTTGCCAGGCACACAACATTGGCTGTATGAGTTGATAAGCTATAAAGGTTTAAGATTACCATACAATATGAATCCGCTCACCTACTTACCAATAAATTGATGGAATATTTGGATTACACGAAATAGAAATATATATACAACATGACTCGTGATAACGTTAGTGTTAGATATACAACACAACAAGCATCTGAATTCTCATATTTGGCAGCATCTTCTCACAAAAAAAAAAAAAAAAAAAAAAAACTACAACCAACCTAAAGTGGAGTCCTCCAAAGCAAAACTTTTACAAGTTAAACACAGATGGAGCACACTCAGCCATAACTGATGGCATTGGAGGGATAATTAGGAATTACAGAGCTGAATGGATATTAGGTTTCTCAGAAAATGTCCCAAGGGACACATCCATTTCTGCAGAATTATACGCATTGATTCATGGGCTCAAATTGGCATATGAGTACAATCTAGTGCCACTGGAGGTGGAGGTGGATGCAAGAGAGATTATCACAATATTACAATTTGATAATATTTCGTTTGCTAACATAATAAATGATTGCAGGTACCTCCTGGGGCAGCTAGGTAAGCCGGTAGTTCAGCAT